GTCATTTTCTTCACACAACTGCGCAAATAACCGTGTATTCAACGCGTTGCTTCGGATTCGGTTTACTGCGTCAATTACTAAATGAAGTGATTCATGCAATCTAACACTCAAATTTTTAGCAACTAAATGTTGTCGATGGATGACGCAATGTATTGCTAACACCCCTCACACATTTTGTTTTAAATAGCTTATAAATAAACGATAACGTCCAACCATGGCAGGTGCCATCCATCTGTAGCTACTGATATTATATTTGATAAATGAATTGCTTTTTCAATGAAGTAATCCTTCAAAACATGAAATATTGATTCGCCTTTAGTGTCGGTTATCAAAGTTCTTGCGAAGAGCAGTTCTTCGTAGATTTCTTGATTCATAATAAAACGAACATATGCCAATAATAATGCTGCATTATGAGGTAAAGTTGACTCGTCCAGTTGTATAGAGAAATGGGTCGTTTGCAAATAATTACATAAGAAGCTTTCAATATCAGAACTCATTTCATCAATACGTCTTTCAACAGTATTGTTGCTTAAGGGAATTCTTTTAATGATATCAGATGCAGGTTTGTGTTAAAAAACAGTTTTTAAAACCTCTTCAACGGCTGGCAAAATTGACTTCTCTCCGATAGTATGCGGTTTTCCGGTTTTTGCTATAAGTAACGAGATATTGTAAGACGCCCGCAAACCATCATCATTTCTTTGTGACGTCGAAGCGAACATTCTGTCCAGTGTAGGTCTCTTATGAAGTTTATCTTTGAGTGTTTGAAAATATATCAAATCTTTCTCTGTTTTATCAGGGTGGCATCTTCTCAGATGATCTTGCAGTTTAGATGGTTTCATAGCGTCATTGCCCAAAACTTTGTTGCATAAAAGGCACATAGGCAATTGTTTGTGCGGCAATGATGGAATGATGCCAAATTTCAAATAATCGACATTGTACTGTCTACATTTCTTTTTGGATTCGGACATATCATCAGTCATCTGTGGGCAAAATTAAATTATTTAAATAAGACAGAAAATCCAGCAGCTGTATATTAAAAATATTTTTTGATTTTTCCGAAAACATTCCATAATTCGAACATCTTCTTGCAACAATTAGCTCGAATTACGGAGATTGCACTGTAATTATAATACCGATTGCTAAAACTTTCAAAAAGAAACTATTGAGGAGTACTCGTGCAATTTTGCATGATTGAGTATTAAACTACTAATAACTAAAGTCATGATTGGCGTAATTTATCTATCTTTGCTAACTACGAGTACAAAACTAAAATTTAATAAAAAATAATGTACTTACTTTTCTCCAGCACTCTCAAACAAAATAACACTGACTCACTATAATTTGTGCGATATAAAATCTGTTTATATTCTTTTAAATATTTTCTTAGCAATTTCCTTTTCAAGATTCAGGAATGAATAAACGTATTTGTCCCACATTCGTATTTATAGAGTGACGAATTGAACAAGTCAGTGCAAGGTAGCGAAGCTCTGAGACTGCGACTCTCAGGTTTTTACAAGTTCAAAATGTATTGCGACCATAAAGCGAATACCAACATCCTACAACTTACACAATTTTATAAACATATATAATAATTTTTTTACTTCATAGGTACTTTTATAAATAATGTATATGTTTTGATATTATAAGATAGTATGATGTAAGTAAATAGGTACTATCAGTGTATGTGTTGAGATCCACTATCGTGGACCCCCATTTTCATTTCATGGACCCCCAAATTTTTTTCGCTGACGTAGACCCCTTGCAGGTTGTCATAGATCCGTAGGGGTCGATATAGACCACTTTGGGAATCACTGGTCTAGTTCATCCGGTACTACTTATAGCTCATCATTAACATCGATTACTCATGATTCTGTCAGAAATTCCAATTTTATAAGATACCAGCCAAGATTTAGCGGTACCTTCTGAGACTACAATTGCCAAGAGAGGCAAGAAGAGAGTTCGTAATAAATCTGCATGGATAAAAAGTTTACGAAAACGTCAGCGAAATTCTGGAAAACAATACGTATCTAGAACTGACAAAACTGTTGCAGCAAAATCTTTTAAACCAACTTGCACAGAAAAATGTAGGCTCAAATGTCGTAATACAATAACGGAGGAACAAAGACAGGAGATATTTGAATGTTATTGGGGCTTGGGATCACTACAAAGACGGCGTAATTTTTTGAACTCCTGTTTAACAACTTTGAAAGTTCCCAACCATTGAGTGAAATAAGGAGCTGCCAAAACTAGGAACCAAAATTGTGTTTTTAATTTCACGGTGAATGGTGAAACTAAGCGGACGTGCAAAACTTTTTTTAAATACTTTGGGTGTATCAGAGAAAACATTGCGAACGGTTATTGAAGGTAGAAATAGTTCTGGTACGGGTGTATTCCCTGAGGACAAGCGTGGCAAGCATGCTCATCATAATCGCGATCACATTAATTCCGTCCCTAGAATTGAGAGCCACTATACTCGGGCTAACACAACTCGTGAATTTATTGATGGCGGTCTTACCGTTAAAGAGCTACATCGAAATTTCGTATCTAGTAGAGGAACGACGCTATCGGCAACTTTTGACACGTATTACCTAACAGTTACACAAAAAAGATCAGTGTGATCTCTGCGAGTCTTATAAAAATGCTGTCGGGGAAGACCAAATCAAATTAAAAGAAGCTTTGAGGCCATTTCCCTCACAAAGTGTGCCAAAGATTTTTAATATGATGGAAATAGATAAATAAATATAAGCATTTATAAAATAATGTGTGTTTTCTTGAAATAGCTTATACCATGTATCACTCCTACATACTCCATAACAACACTGTTGTTCTTTTTCGTACAGATAACAGGATTATAAACAATTGAAAAAAAATTTTTTTTATTAAGACACACTATTTTTGTTGCTTTTTTGAATGAACATATATAGTTTATTTACTATTTGTTGATTTTAATTATCATTTAAAAGGTTAAATACCTATAACATGCATTTTTTACAACAATCAGTACGAAAAAGATAGCTGACATTAACGCATGCGCACAAAAAAGTGTGGTGAAAAGGCCGACATGGCTTAAAAACAAGCATCCAAGCCAAAAATCAACTGAGCTGTCAATGTCACCTGCATCTACGCGCACGCAAAACAAAACAGGAGAACGATCGTCGTAGAAAATAGTGTCCCAGAAATCTGGACACCATAAGTGAGGCGCTGCGATCGCTAAGTTCAGTCAATAAAAGTCATTTTCAGTCTATTTTTCTGATCAGATGCTAAACCACTTGCACATCCACGCACAATTAAATATTTCTCCATTTTTTAATGTTTCTTTTTGTTAAAAATTACAAAATTACGGAGCATGAAAATTTTGTCACAAGCGCCGCAGAGAAAATTTGTACATTATTCAACTAACTTCATCTACTTGTACTCATAAACAGCTAACTTCGCAGCCATGACTCACTAACATCAGCGCCGCTATAAATTCTACAATTTTCAGGGACAGGCGGGCTATGCTTTAGTTCGTAGTGATCGTTCTCCTGTTCTCTAACCTTCATGGCCTGCTTTGAGCATTTTCTATTATGGAGTGTAGAGGTAAGGAGTACAGACTCTGTATAAAAAAGTATCCGTAGGAAAGCGCTAAATAAGGGTGTTGTAGCTACAGTCTAAATTTTAAAGAACTTTTTATATTTTTTTTATTGCACGGACTTTCACCATAATTCTTTTTACAATAATTATTTCACACTCTGAACGTATTTTACGGCTATTTATCATACCCCGTAGCTACTCGTGCGCTGTTGTGGAGAGTTTTAGAACTGTTATTTACTGCTTACGGATGGACACATTTTCAATTATTCTCCTATGGGAGATTGTCCTCTTTACCTCTATACTCCATGATTTTCTATGCTCAAAGATTGCCTGTCAGCTGTCACTGTCATCCGCCTCATTAGATTAGAGAATAGGAGAACGATCGCCGTAGAATTTCTGTATATATTACTCTACTCTATGCCGTAGAAAATAGTGTCCCAGAAATGTTGAAAATTTGTACTTTATTCAACTAACTTCATCTATTTGTACTCATAAACAGCTAACTTTGTACTGTAACTACTTGTACTCATAAACGGTCACTACTCACCGACGTCTGCGCCGTTATAAATTCTACAGTTTTCAAGGACAGGCGGGCTATGCTTTAGTACGTAGCGATCGTTCTCCTGTTCTCTAACCTTCATGAATAAAAGTTGAGGGGGGTTTTGGCGCGAACTTGGCCGTAGACGGATTGTCGCTACTGTTTTGTCGCTTGTATAATGATTTGATGTGGATTTTGATTCGTAAAACTGATGTGATTTTGTGAATTAAGTGGCCGCGCGTGTGAACAATTAGAGAAAACGACGAAACAGGTGCTTTGATGTCGATATAAACCTCAAGTTATTTTGATCGCTTAGGCGCCTTATGAACTGGAGTGGCTGTCGTCATCAACTGTCCGCTGGGTTGAGTTGTCGTCAAAATCTCTCAAGGGCTTCGCAATGTGACGCATATTGTGAAGAAAAGAAAAAAAAACGCGGGTACCTTGAAACTGGACTGATTAATAAATCCATATGGATTGAAACTTATAAAGATTATAATATAAAGAAGACTTGGCTTTAGCCTTTGTGGTTTTTGAAAATATGAAGAATTAAAGAAAATAAGACTTGGCTTCGGCCTTTATGATTTTTGAAGAGATGGAAAGAAGAAAAATAAGATTTGGTTCTGGCCTTTACACTTCAAAGTTCTATATTATATTCGAATTTTAAAAAAAGATAAGGCTGCATGGCTTAGTTCCTTCGCCTACTCTCTCAAGCGAATAATAAAGACATAGACAACAACAAGCAACAACAATAAAAGTTGAATAAATACTACAATATTTTGAGTTAGGTACCAGTACTTTGTTACTTTTATTTTGTAAATAAAATATTCTTACAATTAACAGAGTTATAATTATTGCGGATAGATAGAATAGTAGCCTTAATAAATGTAAAATGCCTCAGTTGTTCCAAGTTTTAAGATGTTATAAATGTTTGGTTTTTCAAGTGAGTTAGATTAATATAGTTATTCAATTCAATCTTCATACTTTTTTATAAATTACTAACGATCTGCCCCGGCTTCGCACGGGTGATATCTAGATTCTACAACGGCGACACCTATAGGGTCTAACTATGACTATAACCATCGTGGAAGTAAAAGCAATATGTTGACAAAATTTGAATCTATCTGATGAACGGTATGACAGCGCATAAAATACGAACAAACAAATATCAATTTTTATATATTAGATGGGTGACAGACAACCACCTGATGGAATATTGCTGTCCGCTTACCATCAGGTGTACATATACGTATGACCTCTGTGGAATAGTTTACCACCGGCGATTTTTCCAGACCGATACAACTTAGGGACCTTCAAGAAAAGAGCTTACTCCTTTCTAAGGGGCCGGCAACGCCCCTGCAATTCTCCTGGTGTTGCGGTTCTGTGGTAGTCACTTAACATCAGGTGAACTGTATGCTCATTTGCCCCCTCTTCTTTATAAAAAAAAAAGTATAGTGATCTTCATAGCATTCACAGAACACTAACCATTGCATTCATTCATGAGATTTTCTGATTCATTCATTCAGTCATTTTATGATTCATGTCATGTTACTTATTTAAAATCAAATCAATCCCTTACAAAACTGTCTATTCATTTTTTATGCCCTTTTAGTCACACTATAGCTAATATGAGGAGGAGGATATAGCTTAAAATTCTATATGATGTTAATTAAAGCTCCAAAAAATATATTATAGGAATAATGAAAACAATATTATAATATAGTAGGCACTATAAAATACTACCTACTATTATTTTACATTTTTTTAAATTAAAACCACTAATAAACCAAATGCCATATTATTAAAGTATATATATATATATATATATATATATATATATATATATATATATATATATATATATACACTGTAAACTTCTAATGAAGCAATTCAAGTAATACAGACTTTTGGTGGAATAAGAACTTGACACAAAAGAAAATTGTACAGCTGAAATAATGTGGGATGTACATTAGTTGTGTCACACAAACATACATTACTGTAACTAGTCTGTATAAAGGTACATATTATAGACAAGTCAGAATTAAACATATCTCATAGACATTACCATATTGACTGACTACAATATTAAAGCAAAAGATGTATAAAAGCTCAGAAAATACCATCTGCTAAAACATAAATAATAAGACTGGTATATGCAAACACATACAATACCAATTGTAGTAGAAGAACAGGAGTCACAGAAACACGCAGAAAATTAACTCAAGGATAAACATTCACATTATACAAATAAGGCAGCTATTTGTATGTCAACTATACTCAGTAAGGTTTTTATATGTTAAAGATCTCACTTCGTTCAACACCTGTTTTTGCAGTTTTCTCTCTTGAGAACATCTTCATTAATATTATATTATATTAGGCAGTCAAACTGTGTAGTGGTGGTATAAGAATATCCAATACCCCATATCACCTTCTGTGGGTTGTAAGAGGAGCCAGTAGGAAACTGAAATAAGATATTGGCAGCACCATCTTCCTGATAGCAACTCAAAGTAATAAAAAACTGCAGTTGCCAATCCACCTATGAAACATGGCCGCTATGGCATATGAGGCAATCTATGGGAAAAGCCTGCATTCAGCAGTGGTCATTTATAGGCTGTAATGGATGGAATGGATTATAAAATCTATGACTTACATTTACTCGACTTATTATCATTAAATGTATGTTATGTTGTAAAACAGCGATAACACTATCCCCTACAGAAGCACGACAAATACTTCAGCTTTAATTTAATGGGTGAATATTTGCCACCCATTCTGTTATTGTCTAATATATAAATATAATATTGTATTGCACCCAATTTGATACTATATAATGACTACTACATACTTTTTTATAGAATAAGGATGACAAACGAGCACAAATTCCACTTGATGGTAAGTGGATGCTGTGGTCCTTAGAGATCTACATCTATCTTCAATTAAGAATCAAAATGCACTCCTGAGCACTGAGATGGAATGCCTCGTTTTCAGTAAAAAGAGTATACGGTTCTCTACTCTCATCATACAAAACACAGCAGCATGGAGCTGCTATTTTACACTGGTAGTCTATGTTACTTAAACAAGAATATCTGCATATTGCCTGCTGGCTAAGTGATAAAAAAATCTACCAAGTTACTGAACTGAAATTTTAATTCAAATATTAATCTGGGCAAAAATAGCTATTGATAGCTAAATATAAAACTTTTGATGATTAATATTTCTTAAATTAATAACACAAATAGTAATCTAGTTTAACTTTTGTGTAACTGGTTAATATAAAATTTTCAGATACACCAAACAAAAAAATCAAATAAATTTCAATGTAAGATGTGTGGTGAGAAGCAGTCAATTAAACGCCATTATGGCCTTGGTAGTGGTAAAGAGTGTAGACTTCATGTTCAAAAATTAAATGCAGTTAGAGGGCAAACAGAAGAAGAAAAACTTGCTACAGTATATTCAGAAGACGATATTGAAGACTGTATTGAAAATAATGAAATTTTTAATTCACTTGAACAACAAGGTAAAAGTAAATGGTCATCATTTATAGAAAATAATGAAGATAATTCGCAGGATGTGAATGAACCTATGTTCCTAGACAATAAAGAAGTGGTTTTGGAGATACCCACAAAAAGAAAGAAAATCAAAGATCCTAAATATACACGTACTGTACCAAATGCCACTTTTGAAGATAAAAGTTATATTGAAATTCAAAATTATTACAAACGCAGTGAAATTATTGAAAATACTCCATCTATTGATGAAATAACTGAATATGTTAAAGTTACAGAACCATGTTCAAAACCTCATGAAAAACCTAACAACGTAAATAAAAATTTAGTCCATCATGAACCTAAAGTTCGAGCTCCTGTTCAAAAGTCCTCAAAATGGGCTCAGTTTGTTGAACCTGAAAATGACTTAGAACATATTAATGCATCTCAAGAAATAAATATCAACCCCTCATATGGTGGTAAAAACCTTTTTGAATTATGTGATGATACTGACATTGACACAATATTGAACATTTAATTTGCAAAAATATTTTAATTCACATCTCAAAAAATTTAAAGAAACAGAACATAGACTAAAGATTTAATCAGCAGGATAGTTGAACCATTAGCCATTCAGCTTAACATGTAAAAATTTTTTTTACCTAAAATTGAAAGGAAAATATAATTGCATTGCTAATAAGAGATTTTTAATGTGGTGTGGATTATTTATGAGGAATAATATTTATTTTATTAATAAAACCAACATACTTATCACAATGGCAACAGTTTAATATCACTTTTTTACTTCTAATAGACAAAAATGATTAAAGGTATTATCATAATTTCTATTACAATTTTATTAGTCCTATAAAAAGTTCTTAATTGATTGCTTGATTTTTATTGCATTGCAGCATTTATAGCATTCATTGTTTTTTTTTAATCTAAAGATCTATAATACAACATACTCATATTTTATTACATATACCTATATTTCAAACCTTACAATTTCTATATAATATGTTTGTTAAATTTATATTTTAGTGAATTTGTGGTTTGTACAATTTATTACCTAAGCGATAATACTTCAGGCAGTGATTTTACTTATAGTATTTGTAAACTTAAAATTATAGTCCTCTATATAGTGCCTATTTAATTGTAGTGCTGGGGTCACACTGAACGAAACGCCGTTAATTATCGCGATGATGAACGTTTAACGTTGGTGTAGCCACGACTTATTGCGATAATTTTACAACGGCATTTCAAAATTGCCGTTTAACGTCAGGCGATGGCTCGAGTGGCGGTACATTAAGGGTACACTAGTCGCTTATTCTTCCATACAAACGTAGTCTGGCGATAACTCCACTGTTTGATGGTGTACGTTCAAAATAAAAAATGATTTCAATTGGTCTCATCATTATCTAGCCCTGTATGGAAACAAAAAAGTAAAAAAAGAGTATATTTAAAAGTTATAAGCGTCGAAAATTCCGAATTTCAACACTATTTTTAACACATCTTTGGGCGGAAATAAATACCATAAGAAGAACGAAAATTGCAAAACAGTTACCATACAGGGATAGATTAGTTGTTCAAAACTGCAAATAATTTTATTTTAAACAGATACATTCAATAGATTTTTCGTGACATCCAGACTACCAAAGGTCTGTTTATAAAATTTTGCGCGCCCGTTTTTGTTATAAAGCATCTTGCCTTTCGCTACAAATTATTTCCCCGATCAGTGGGACGGACGGAGGGGGGAGCGCAGCGCGCACTCACACATGCTCACTAGGTTAGCCGCTGCTATCTATTTATGGTTGTAATACCTACATATCTACATCTTTATTTAGAAAAATTGCTTCCTTTTGTTCGTGTCCATTGCTGAAGCCGGGATGAATATAGCTGCTAAAATGTTCCCATAAGTTTGTTGAAGCACATTTAGTTAAAATTGAAAACAAGTTGGTACATAATAATGAACTTTCGATACAGATAGCACATTAGGTACTTAACTACTTTAATTTGCTAACTAACGAAAACATCTCATAGATAAGCACGATTATCGAAAATCTTAAAATTATCTATTAATTGAATTAGAATAGGTAATTTTTAGATTTTCGATAATCGTGCTTACGTATAGGAATCTCGTATCCTAATATACCTATTGTTGAAATTAAAGGATTTTCTACTAGAAAAAGAAACGTGTATTTTTGGCTTTTTTGATCGATAGTAATATGTATAGGTATTTAAATCTTGTAATCTCGGAAGCTCGGAAGTCCGATTCGCACTTGGCAAAATATTTGTTTATATTTAACCTTACCTCAGACATACCCATATTTTTTTATATATAATTTACTATACTACTATATAAGCTACTACTAAAAAAATAGTAGTAGCTTTGCTATGGTATTATAGTACCTATATTTTGGATTAGATTTAATTTATTACAGAGCCGTGGTAGCTCAGTGGTTAACGCTCGCTGTAAATATAACAGAACGCGAGTAACCCGGGTTCGATCTCCGCCGGCACCAATGAAATTGTTAATTGCAATTTTAAGTGCTGATTTACCACGTGCTCGGCGGTGAAGGAAAACATCGTGAGGAAACCTGCATGTCTGAGGAATAAGAAAAAAATATTTCGAAGACATGTGAAGTTCGTCAACACGCATTTGGGCAGCGCGGCGGACACTTCCTTGCCCTAAACCTTCTCAGAAAAGAGGGGAGGCCTGAGCCCAGCAGTGGGACGTATATAGGCTGTAACTTTACTTTACTTTACTTTTATTACAGAATAACCTACCTTAGATATTGGGTTATGAATACAGATAAGTACACATAGGATTTAGTTTCTAAGTTATACCTACATATTTATAGCCTTCGTTATGAATAGCATAAACAGGTCAAGCCCCGACCAAGTAACGAATTTCTTTCTACAATCGCGCCTTTTATTTGTTTGGACTGATCACCTGACTCGTTCAGTGATGCCATTCCCATACAGTGTTTAGTTTTCAACTAGCGTTATCTATCATAAAATAAATAAAAATTTTATTCATATTTCGCTAATTGTGTCTGTACTGTGAATTTGATTTACAATCGATCTCTAAATTGTAGTTTTCTTCTAATTACTTACCTTGCCTAGACGTGTTCTTTGGACTTCTGTAAGGAAGTCTATGCTGTTAGTATTCCGTTTATATACGTTACTATTTTGATAGACGTTTGTGCTTGTCCCTGCAGTGACACAATGCCTGTTGTTATGTAATTTTCTAAGTACTAAGAGAATATTTCAAACCGCTATTGAACACAAACAATCAATAAACAATTTACAAACTAACATTTTTTTATTTAATTTACCTATATAAAAGCCACACTCACATCAAAATCGCGCTGTCGAAAAAGCAGTTATCCTGACACTGGCTGACATATACTTCGGGGTCGGGGAGTTGCCTGCGGGCTATTATAGCTAACTAGCTATGGAAAGTAAATACCTAATTAGAATACATAGTACCTACAGTAATATTTGCATAACCTACAGTAAAGTACAAAACATACAGAAAACATAATTATGTTACACTTTTTTGTGTTTGTTTTGGAAATTGTTATATTTTTTTTCAAAAAAAAGTTTTTTATGTTACCGTTTTTAGTTTAGAGTTATGTCCCTTTAGTGGGTACAGGCGTGATATTATATTGTGTGATTGCGTAAAGAATGCATAGATAGGCGATAGCAGCAATCGCGGTTGATTTGCTGTCATTTATTGAAGTGCCCCCGATTTCTCCAAGATCCCATCATCAGATCCTGATCTGATCATCGTCGATTACCGTGGGATTATCTGGAAAATATATCCAAATCGGTTCAGGCATATTCGAGAAATCGGGGGACAGAACATACATAAACAAAAACCAACGAATTGAGAACCACCTCCTTTTTTCGAAGTTGGTTAAAAAGTAGGTAAAAACAAATCAATGGAATTATTATATAATAACAACATCTACTTAAGTTCACATAAGAACTTTCATCATAACAACTAAGCACATAAATTGGGTTCATAATAATTACGTTTCACACAGCAGATTCTAAGTTACAATAACACCAATTTGCTTTCTCTCTCCTTTCTCTTTTTAAAATACGTTATCCCCGATTTTCTCCAGTATCGTGGAGGCAGTTTACAAATATAAATTGCATAAGAACAAACATACAGACCCGGAACAACTATTTGTAGTCCATACAAAATATTTGTTCCGTGGGGGATTCGAACCCGCGGCACTCAGCGCAGCTACTCATTGCTAAGCTATTGCGGCACGAAGTTCACAATTGCTGTTTGAGTTTATGTTATTATTCTAAAATGAAACGCATAGGTACCTAGGTACGCGATGATGCCGTCGCGCATTGCGTCACTCGAGTGCGTATGTGTGTGCGCACTAGCTTCTTACTGCTCATCACAGCGTCTATCCCTTTCGCACGAGATGTCGGCTGAGATAGCATGCATTTTTACCCCGCCCACCACTTAGTTCGTGCCATCGACTAGGGCAACCTTAAAGAGATTTTGCGCGAGAATTAATGCGTTGAAGCGGCTACACTACGTTTTTCATTGTTCACCGTGGGTGCGACGGGTTCGCACGTGCATGTTTGTTTTCGATATAGAGTGGATTAACGAGATAGTCATTGTTTCCCGAAATTCTGCAAACAGAGCCATGTCTGTGGGATCCGAGGCACAAAAGCTACAAGAATCGTGGATCACAAAATGATGCTTGGCGATAAATACTGCAATTATTGCCATTTAAAACAACTATAGAATGAATTAAAAAGAAGAAGGAAACCCTAATGTATTATTATAGAACACAACGAATATCAAAGAAGTCAAGTCCGGAGCTGGATAACATGACCTTAACGCTATTCTTATTGCCATAAATGACCATTGACGTTGACCGTTTAAATGTGGCCACTCCATCTAACGCGTTAATAACTAACGCGATATTTATCGCGAGGATTGGCATTGACGTTTCCCGTTAGTGTAGCCCCAGAATTACAGTTGTTACTTAACGATGCAAAATACCTACGGATCGGGAAATTTGTAACAATTACTTACTGTTAAACCAACATACCTATTCATCTACAGAAAAGACATTGAATACAGGTTTCTAGAATGATTATAATAGGAAGCCCTACAAGATTCGATGTCGAGTTTTAAAAAGTTCTATTATTTCACATTTTATAACATTAAAATGTTTAAATTTTTCATTTACGTCAATATATCTTTAAAATTAAAACACCCACATGTTTTTAATCAACATATCAATCACATAATTTACTAGACTAGAACACCATCATATTATGGCGACGGCGGTGCAACTCTCTTGCTCTTGCATATCGACGACCATATCCACTCCATCGCCACGCTCTGTTTATAACATATTTGATATTAATAACTTAAAAACACAATTTAACAGTAGAAAAGTCAAATCTCACTCATATTGTTTAGATACTTAAAGTATTAAACTTAAAAGGCATTAAAATATTTGTCAATTGTTAATAGCACGCAGAAAGTCTTACGCA